AGAATATATGCAGTGTATTATTTGTTGAAACTGTACTTCTGATTTGATTTGAAACTGTCTCATTGCTATCTGTTTATCAATAAAACTTTGAAAAAAAAAGACTATTTTATGGATATAGGATCTTTTTAAAACCTTGTTTAATATAAACTCTTATCAAAGCCTTAAAATGAAGGGATGGCCAGATAGCTCCCTAGACTAAAGTGCCTGCATAGGAAGGTACAGGGACTGGGGTTCAATCCCTAGCATGCTGTGCTGGCCCCACCCCCAGGGTGCCCTCAGTCGGTATCTGAGACTGGGTGTGGTGGCACGTGCCTGTAATACCAGCGCTTGGGAAGCTGAAAAAAGGAGAATCACTATGAGTCCAATTTGTGTGGTGAGACCTTGTAGAGCCTATACTAAAAAAAAAAAGCCTCAAAATAGAAGGTCAGCTTTCTTTAGAGGGGTATAGATTAAAAGCTGCCTGTCTATATTGATGATTCCAGAGTGAGATTCTCATAAGTTGGAAATGGCAGGTAAATAATTGAAGAAAAAAATGGTGGAATGTATTAAAGGAGAACACTTAATACCACAAATTGGGACCAAACTTGCATTATAAAATCTGACATTCTGTTTCATTTGTGTTCTGGTTCTGTTTGTGCTTATACAATATTTTGGTTAATAGCATCCCCACCTGTCAATGATTTTTTTTTCTTGTTTTTGTTTTCTTTACCATCAAAAATTGAACTTCAGGGGCTGGGGAGATAGCTCAGTAGACCAAGTTCAATCCCTGGTTCTGCAAAAAAAAAAAAAAAAGAAAGAAAGAAAAAAAAATCCAAGTTCACATGAAAGAAAGGGAAATTTCAGGAGCAAAAAAAGTGAGAGGAAAGTAGCTGCTGTGCTGTAGTAGCTCTCAAGGCCTGAGAAGGCTATGAGTCTTGGTTTTATTGTGCATATAAGATAGCTTAGGTCTTAGACCTATGCAAGGTGTACTAACTGGCCAGATGTTAGCATAAAGGTTTAGAGTCTTGGGTAAAATTTTACCTGTTGATACAGAAAAACATTAAGGAAGCTTGTATTTGTCAACCAATACTCCTGAGTGGAGAAATTTTTTCCTTTGAGAATTCATAATCCTTGGTCTCCTTGATACTAGGTTTAAAATGAGACTAACCTCTTGCTGACTATGGAAATTCCCAGCTATTCAGTTAGCATAATAAGTTTCCCCAGGATAGTAGTAACCTTGAAGTCAGGGCTCTTATACAATTTATCTGGTAGGTTATACATTGAACCTAGGCTATATAGGACTTCCTCAGAGAAGCCTTGTTGAAAGTACACTAACGTCATGGTATTTATCACAGAATAATATACTAGGAAGACAATTCCTGTAAAAAGCAGCAGATGTGGAACAATTTAGGGTTAGTTCTCCAAGAACCACAGATAATAAAATTATCCAATAGAGATGATAATAGAGGCTGGGGAGATAGCTCAGTAGAATAAGCGCTTGCCTGGCAAGTGCAAGGGCCTGAGTTTAATCCCCGATTCTGCACAAAAAAAAAAAGAAAAGAAAAAAAAGAAAGAAAGAGATGGTGATATAGCTTAGTGGCATAGTGTCTGTCTGGCAAGTGTGAGGTCCTGAATTTGAATCCTGGTATAAAAATTATATAAATATAAATAGAAACTTTGAAGATGATTCTAGTTATTAAATCAAAAGAATAAAAACATGCCCCTGGCAAGTGCAAGGGCCTGAGTTTAATTCCCGGTTCCGCAAAAAAAAAAAAAAAAGAATAAAACATGGTCAAAGACTTAGCATGGTTAATAAATGACATTATCCAAGAATAAGACTATTAAAAAAGACCATGTGGAACTTCTTCTGCTAGTCAAAATAGAATAAAGAGAAAATATGTAAAGCATTGATACTAAAGAAATTGGATATAACCCAACAAAAATGAGTGTTCTATCTGTGAGAGAAAACAAATGAGGTGAGTCCTATAAGCACCCCATTTTCATGGAAAATATTTCCATCTGTTTTTTAGAAATTGTAATATATGCTTCACATGTTATTTAGGCATTCTGCTATTTAAGTATTTAAACAAAAGAAATGAAACTGTACCCAACAAGCTATAATTATGTAAAGCTGTGTACATTGCCACCTTGAGCAGTGAAGAAAGTGATATGAAAGGTGTGTTTTGGATAGACTACCAGCTATACCTTGTCATGACTAAAACTAGTTGGAAGAAGGTGATAGGAATAAAGAAAAAACAAGTATATAGCATAAAATGAGATGGTAGGAGGTTGTTCATGTCCTGACTTTTAATAATTGTTGTCAGTGAAAATATTCAGCCAGTTTGAATCCTGGTATATATATTATATAAGTATAAATATATATGAGAGAATCTGCTTCATATATGAGTTACTTGCAGATGACTATGGTCATGAGAAAATTGTACCTGGCTGATTAGGATACATTTAGCATTCTTTTTTTTTTTTTTTTTACAGGATGTTGCTATGTATTCAGTGCACTACACAGTACAGGTTGGCCTTGAACTTGCGGTGCTCCTCTTGTGTCAGCCTCCAGAGAGATGGTGTTGCATACATGTGCTACCACACCCAGTCTTTGGCAGTCTTTGCTGCTGACTATGGCCTTTTGGCCATCTTTTCCCTTACTCTCATTCACCCATATAACTCAAAACTGTTTTCCTACTCAGTTTCTGGGGATAGGGTTATTACTAAATTGTCATTTTTAGCTTTGCAATCTATCGATCAATCGATCAATTGATCGATCTATCCATCCATCCATCTATCTATATTTTATGTATTTAGTATGGGGTCTACCTACACAAATTGGACTCATAGTGATTCTGTTTTCAACTTCCCAAGCCCTGGGATTATAGGTGCATGCTAAAGCACCCAGTCTCAATCACTGTCTCATTGTGCCCCAGGAGTGGGGTTGGTTCAGCAAGCTAGGAATCCAACCCCAGTCCCTGTGTCTACCTAAGCAGGCTCTTTAATCCACTGGGCTATCTGGCCAGCCCTAGCTTTACAATTTTGCTTTTCTAAAATTGCTTTATAATAACTGAAACTTCACCCTGTGATCTGACCAGGGAGCATTAACCACAAGAATGTAGAAGAAGGTAGTAACTTTATACACAATGGTAGACTGCTCTTAACAGCATGAACATCTCAACTAAATGGAAGAAACAGTGTTACCAAACTAGGCTTCTAGTTAAGTAGCAAAAAAAAAAACCCAACAAGGTTTATCAGTCTAGATTAAGGACATTGGGATAGCTTTATTTAGAGAATAATGGTGGATAACCATGAATTTTGTTTGCTATGAATTGAAAGAGAGAAAAATTCGTTTTAAAAAATACACAAGATAAACCATGCATGGTAGCATCTACTTGTAGTCCCAGTACTTGGGAGTTAAGGTGGGTGGATCTGCATGTGTTCCAGGCTAGCCTAGGCTATATAATTTCAAGATCAACCTTGAAATACATAACAAGAAACTGTCTCAACCCCTACCCCCAAGACATTAATTATACAGTTCACCAAAATTTTGCCACACATATTTTCTATGTTTATAGTTTGGAGAAGTTTCTAATATTTGAGAACTATCTATATGCAGGACAAGAAACAAAAATTTCTAATATTTGAGAACTAAGCAACTTCTGCCTTAGAAAGTATATGTAGCCACAGATAAACCCATATGATTAATGATTTAAGTCCCAAGTTTTATCAGTATCAAGAATGCTCACCAAGGAGCTGGTAGATGGCTCAATGGAATAAGCGCTTCCCTGGCAAGTGCAAGTCTCTCAGTTCAATCCCCAGTTCTGCAAAAAAAAAAAAAAAAAAAAAAAAAAAAAAAAAAAAGAAAAAGAAAAAAGAAAAAGAAAAAAAAAAGAAAGAATGCTCACCAAAATTTTAGGAAAGCACTATCAATATGATTGCCTTGAAGAGGAGATATAGTATTTGAAATTCAACTTCATTTTTACAGATAAAGTGTTTTCCTTTTTTATTTTATTTTTTAAAGCAGTACCAGAGATGAATCTAAGGCCTCACACATGCTAGGCAAGTGCTCTACCATAGGACTACACAATCTTTAAAACTTTATTTGCTGTTATTGTAGCTTTTCTCACTATAGCTCATCCTGTGTCTTCAGGGTGTACTTGCATCTTGCTTGTTCTTCTTTTACTTGGCCAAGGCTTACTTTGCATAGCTGATATCTGTCAATCACTTTTCATTTTTACTTTTTCAAATAAACTTCGTCATTCCTTGCCTGCCTGTCTGCCTTCCTTCCTTTCTTTTTTATTGAGACAGAATTTCACTGTGCAGTTCAGGTTGCCCTTGAACTCACTTTGTAGCTCAGGCTGATCTTGATCTTGCAGCAATACTCCTGCCCCAGCCTCTTCAGTGCTGCAATTACAGTACATGCCACCATGGTCAGCTTGTCATTGCTTTTGTTTTATTTATCTGTTTGTTTGTTGTTTATGGAGGCAGGGTTTTGCTAAATGGTAGAGGCTGGTTTTGAGAACTTCCTGCCTCAACTTCCTGACTGTTTGGACTATAGACATGCATGTTAGCTTTTGGCTAAAGTATCATTTCTTCCGTATGTGTTTTTGGGATCTAATCTTCATTAATGTTCAGTTTTTACTGAAAGTATTTTTCTTTTAGTGAACATTTTAAGAGATGAGTTAAATTATTTATATATAGCATTTGAGATTTGAAATGTGGAATAAATAATACAGTGTCTAAATTTTCTATTTTCTCATTTTTGAGAATGCTTATGCAAAGTTATTTTAATTTCAGGGAGAAAAACTAAGCCCTTACGACCAGATTCTCCAGCCACTACACCAAATATATCTGTGAAGAAGAAAAACAAAGATGGGAAGGGTACATACTACTCTAATTTCTTTATAATACTTACAGATCAAGAAGCATTCTGGTTCCTTTGTCTTCATATTATATGTAGAAACCACTAGTTTCTTGATATACTGAAAATTAATCTGTTACTCTCAAGTGCTTATAAGATATAGTTGTCAATTTTTAGAAGATTTTAGAAAATTCTATAGTTTCATTTAGCTGTGAAAGCAATTTATTCTTCTACTTAATAATAAGTCTCTTGAATGATTTTGTCCCTGTTAGGATTTCGGTTTATAGACATGTTATTACTTTCTTTGTCTTGACTTTCTGTTGTTTTCATAACTGTTGTGAGATTTGAAGAAAACTATGACTGGTCTGCTGGATATAATATAAAAAGATTAGCTATTGAAAAACATTTTTTATGAGCAGAATATATTTACTGAGAGAAAGAAAGCTCCTGTCCGAAGGAGAGACAGGAGGGAGGCCTGAATGGGTAGTCCTCAGTATAAAAAATTTTATGTAACTCTTCTGTATATTTTCCTGTGTGATGATTCTTTAAAAAATGAACTCAAAGGGCTTTCTCCCAAAATTTTCACAAATCTAATTGATAAAGTTGTTTCTTTTCAAGTGTTTTATAGAGGTTTAATAAAATGGTCTTTATTAGGCCCTCAAAATCATAACCATAATACCACCAATTCTAACTGAACTATCTCAACAATTCTAACTCTAGTATAATTCATAAGACAATTTTGTTTTATTGTGCTCCTTCAAATGAAATTTTAGTCATTTAAAAATAAATTCTTCTGTTTTAGGAAATACAATTTATCTTTGGGAGTTTTTACTGGCCCTGCTGCAGGACAAAGCTACTTGTCCTAAATATATCAAATGGACCCAGCGAGAAAAGGGCATTTTTAAATTGGTCGATTCTAAAGCAGTTTCCAGGTTGTGGGGGAAGCACAAGAACAAACCTGATATGAATTATGAGACTATGGGACGAGCACTCAGGTATGTAAAGTTTTTGCTTTGTTAAGAATTTCATGGGACAGGGGCCGGGGAGATGGCTCAGTGGAACAAGCGCTTCCCTGGCAAGCGCAAGGGTCTGAGTTCAATCCCCAGTTCTGCAAAAAAAAAAAAAAAAAGAATTTCATGGGGCTGGAGAGTTAGCTTGGTGGCCTAAGCACTGATCTGGCAAGCACAAGAACCCAGGTTTGATCCCTGGTACTGCATGCTATGCAGGCTCCAAACCCTGGGCGTCCTGTGTTGGCCATCAAAAACAGATGTGGTGGCACGTGCCTGTAATCCCAGTGCTGGAGAGGCTGAGACAGGAGGATCATTATGAGTCCAGGCTGTGTAGCAAGACCTTGTACCAAATAAGTAAATAAATAAAAGATTTTTAAAAATTTAAGAATATAATTTCTCGGGCTGGGGAGATGGCTCAGTAGAATAAGCACTTGTCTGGCAAGCGCAAGGGCCTGAGTTCAATCCCCTGTTCCACCAAAAAAAAAAAAGAATATAATTTCTGTTCAGTACAACACTTGCAGTCAAGGATCTGAGTTTAATGCCTTATGGTGCCAAGGGGAAAAGAAACCATTTTTTAGATTTTGAAAAAGTTAAGTTTTTACAAATTCAGTGATTAAAGTTATGGTGAATTTTATTTACTGAAATGTCAAGGTCACTTAAAATCAGTCAGTACTTAAATTAAAATATTATTCTAATCAGGGAAAATGTTTTCCTCCGTAAAAAAGTCTTTATGTAAACACTTGGTAAGGTTGAGCATTCTTAATTTAAAAGGAAAAAGTGAAATGTGTAGTGCTACAAAATCTCAAATGTTTTGAGCATTGATACACTTATTTTTTAATTTTGAAGCCCTTCCAAATTTGGATTTTTGTCCCTCCAGAAAAAAAAAAAAAAAATCCTTCTCAAATTTTAGGGCCTGCAAGCAGGCACAGGGGCCCGGGGTTTGATCCCTGGGCATGCCGTGCTAGCCCTGTCCCCAGAGCACCCTGAGAGGGTAATTGAGACTGGGGGTGGCATGAGCCTATAATCCCAGAGCTTGGGAGGCTGTAAACAGGAGAATCACTATGAGTCCAATCTAGTAGTGAGGCCCTGAACACCCACCCTGTAGATAAATACAACGAAACAAAATGAAACAAAACAAAAAAAAAAATTGGATTTTGTGCTTAAAGATGCTCAACCTGTAAAGTCTATGCAAATGTTAAAAAGAAAAAAAAAACTTACAAAATATGAACTACTGGGCCAGGGAGATGGCTCAGTAGAATAAGCGCATGCCTGGCAAATGTAAGGGCCTGAGTTCAATCCCTGGTTCTATTAAAAAAAAAAAAAACAAAAACAAAAACAAAACTACTTCTTGCCGTGAACATTTCAGATAAAGGATAGTCAATCTAGGTTTTTTGTGTTTTTTTTTGTGGTGGTACTGGGGATCGAACTCAGAGCATTGAGCTTTCCAGGCAGGAGCTTATGCCACTGAGCTATATCCCCAGCCCCCCCAATCTATATTTCATTCATGTTTATTTTTAGAAATTGTAAGTTAGCCATCAGGCTCATATATTGTCAGTCATTACACTTAAATTGAGCAGTAAGTACCAAAAATGGTAATATAGGTACTTAATAATAAGGTATATTTTAAAAAACAAGTCTTATTTATGCTACGTGTTTTATATAGTAAATTAATGTTTCAATATTAATGTCAGGTATCATGATAATTTTAAAGGTGCCATTTTATTCTTACACTCTATATTAGGATTTTATTTTTTTCTTCTATATCAGGGATCAAACTCAAGACTTTACACTTGCCAGGCAGGCACTTATGCCACTGAACTATCTCCCAGCCCACTCTGTGTTAGTTTTTGAGGGCTGGGGATGTAGCTTAGTGGGATGTAGCTTAGTGGCATTAACCACCTGCCTGGCAAGCACAAGGTCTTGAGTTTGATCCCTGGTACACAAAAAAAGATGAATGCAATATTTAAATTATTTATTTGTTTTTGTGTGATCATGTTATTTATTCTGCAAGATATATTTGTATTTGAGAAAGATTAGAAATAGCAGTGATCTGCATAATTTTTTTAGAGGATAAATAGTCCAGCTATTTTATTTTATTTTTGTTATTTTATGTGTTTGGTACAGAGTCTCACTACATAGCTTGGACTCATAGTGATCCTCCTGTTTACAGCCTCCCCAGTGCTGGGATTGTGGGCGTGTGCCACCATGCCTGGTCTTGGTGGCCAGTCCAGTGTGCGTAGGGGCGGGGCAGGCATGGTTTGTGCTATCCAGAATGAAATCCCAGGACCTGTGTTTGCCTAAGCAGGCACTTAGACTACTGAGCTATCTGGCTGGCCCTACTCCAGCTATTTTAAATTAGCACTATTTAGCTGTGGGTTTTATATTTTTAACTTGCCCTTTCTTTTTAAAAGAACAGTACTGGGAATTAAACCTGTGTTCTCATTTGTGCTATGCATGTTCTCTACCACTGGGCTATGTCCGCAGCCTTTTATATTTTATATTATTTTAGTTTTTTTATTTTTAATTTTAAATAAGCTCTTGATAAGTTTGCTAGGCTGTCCAATCTGTAATCCTCCAGAATAGCTTTGATTGTAGGCATGTGCCACCATGCTCAGCTGACTTACATTTATAGGTACTTGATTTTACTAAAATCAATGATATTTTGATTATTTCTATTGTATATCATTAAATTTTATGCACAAAACTGAAAGCTGTGGAGGGAAAATAATTTTTTGAAGTTAATGGTAGACTTGATTATTACAGCAACTTAGTGTCAAGGTAGAGGAAGGGAGATGATAAAGGGCTAGTCACATTTCAGTGGGTCCATAATAAGAACTAGTTTTAGATTTAACTAATAATAAGGGTATTTCTCTGTATGTACATTGTATGTGTATCCTATATAAGATAACTTGCCTTTGTTATTTTCTCATTTGTTTGATTTCAACTTTAAAATTTTACTTATGTTTATGAAAATTTGATGTTAAATGTTATTTGAATTTGTTTGATTCAGACATTGATGAATTGTCCACTTTCAATAGGTACTATTACCAAAGGGGTATTCTGGCAAAAGTAGAAGGTCAGCGCTTGGTGTATCAATTTAAAGAAATGCCAAAAGATCTTATCTATATAGATGATGAAGATCCAAGTTCCAGCATAGAGTCTTCAAATCCATCACTGTCTTCAACAGCCACTTCAAGCAGGAATCAAGCAACTCGATCAAGAGTATCTTCAAGTCCAGGGATTAAAGGAGGCGCCACTACTGTTCTAAAACCAGGGAATTCTAAAGCTACAAAACCCAAAGATCCTGTGGAAGTTGCACAGCCACCAGAAGTTCTGAGGACAGTGCAGCCCTCACAGTCTCCATATCCTACCCAACTCTTTCGGACTGTTCATGTAGTACAGCCAGTACAAGCTATCCCAGAAGAAACATCTGTAACCAGTGGCATACAGGAAGAGACATTAAATTCTTCCATTCAGAGTATTAGGTGAGAAAACCAACCAAATGATATATATTGTTATATCATATTTCTGACCAAAGCCTTTTTTATTTGTTAAGTGGATCAGTATTCAGAAGTGAGCATTTTAAGCAAGAATACTTTTTTCTATTGCAGTTCTGGAAGTCAAACCCAAGGCCTCATAGATGCTAGGCAAGTGTTCTACCACTGAGCTACATCTGCAGCCTAAAGCTAGAACTCTTAGTTGATAGATTGTTGCAGGAGCAATATATGT